GGTGTGTTCTGGGCTCCGTGTGGCATAGGGCTGGCCGCCCAAGGCCCTCCGAGCCCCGTGCCCCTCTGAGGAGGCAGAGGAGACAAAGGCTGGGTGGGCTCCGAGATCACACCTTGAGGGCGTTGATGACGGTGTCAATGTGGGTCTTGACCGCCTCGTGGGAGAACTCGGAGCTGGCCAGCGTGCACATGCTCTCCAGGGCCAGGTAGCGCAGGTTGGTCTCGCGGTGCTGCAGGAACTGTCAAGCGCCCCATGGGTGGCCTCTGCACGCTGGTCCTTCGTGAGAGAGAGAGAGAGAGAGAGAGAGAGACCCGGGACATGAGGAGGAGGCCTCGGGCGACGCTGGTCCATCCGCACCATCATGAGGACCCAGATCATGGCCGACCCGGTGACCCGGACCTCTAGGCCGCAGCCCAAATAAATAGCCAGGAATTCTGCCTCCCGGGAGGGAGCCGCACCAACCCAGCAGGGCGCCATCATCCTCCTCTACCTCGAGGTCACAATCCCCGGACCCGCTCCCCTAGGACCCGGGATCCAGGCCCGCCCCCGCCCCCGCCCCCGCCCGGTGGGCACCTGTCGTAGTGGATGATGAGGCTGATGGTCTCGAAGAGGATGGCGTTCTTGGCATTGGAGTGCTGGACCTTCTTGGACTTGGGCGGCTCCTGGGCCTTGTTGAGCACAGTCTCCAGACACTCGACCAGCCTGCCCTTCACGGCCGCATCCTCTGAGGAAACGGAGGGCACGTCCCGGCTGAGCTCTCTGCCGGCCCCGCTGACCTGCCGGGGGCGGGGGGCCAGGCCACGGCCCACCTTCCACAGGCAGGGGGCCGCCCTGCAGTGGCGGCCAGGGCCCCGGGTGACCAGAGAAGGTGGGAGAGATGCCGAGAGGACCCGACTCCACACCTCTCCACACCTGGGCGCTCTGACACCTCTGGGCAAGCGGCCCCTCCCTGTGAGCCTCAGTTTCCCCTTCTGCAGCACCGATGCTGTTTAGGTTCCTCACAAAGTTCCAGGAACCTTCCCCGGAGACACCCTGACACCCAGCGCTCCCACGGAGCGGACTGCGTGCCTGAGATAGACAGACGCCAACCACAAGCTCACACGATCCCCACAGCTGCCTTTCCCTGCGAGGTGAGGCAACGCCGTGGACAGAACAGCTGCCACATGTTCCAGCAAAACTATCAGGCATTCAAAAGCAGGCAGTGAATGGAGCCCTGTGTGGAGCCCTGGCTGGTATGGCTCAGTGGTTAGAGAGTTGGCTCTCGGACTGAAGGGTCCTGGATTCGATTTCCGGTCAAGGGCACGTACCTGAGTTGCAGGTTCCATCCCTGGCCCTGGTCAGGATGTATGCGGGAGGCAACCAGTTGATGTGTTTCTCTCACATCGATGTTTCTCCCTCTCTCTTTCTAAAGATCATGGGAAAATATCCTCCAAAGAAGATTAAAAACAAGCAGGTACTGGGAGGGAGGGTGGTGGGGCTGGGGAGACTATTCCAGACTAAGAAAATATTTGTGGTCCTAGGTTGTACTGCATTTTGTTAAGCCATAAAAATAATGCTATGGACAACTGGGGCAGTTTGGTGCCTGGACTGCAAATGACACTGTGAGGCTGTTTTGAATCTTCTGAGGTATGAGGAGGGCACTGAGGTTCTACACTGCGTTCCTGGGAGACGTGTGTGGAAATATTTCAGGGCGGGGAGTGTTCTGATGTTACTTATCTTCAAGTAATGCAGCGACTGTCTGAGCGCGCGTGAGGAAGGGCACGATGCAGCAGCAGAGGCATTCGGGCGCTACCTCACCGCTCTGGGAAGTTATCTCTGTGTTTGAGACTTTAAATAATAAGCAGCTGGCGAAAGCCAATGCCCTGGAATAAAGGCGGCAAATCTTCCAGATTAAGGGAGACGTATGAGAACTAAAAATCAAATTCGGGACTGGTATCTCGATGAGATCCTAGTTTGAACTGACCGAGGGAGACGGTTTGGGGGAAATTAGGCAACAGTGGGATTACAGAACATTAGGGAATCACTGTTAGTTTGAAGTATGAATGTAGAATTGCTGTTGGGAATGAAAATCGCCATAGTTTTGAGAAACACGTGACAAAATATTTAAAGGCAAAACATCATGATGTCTGTAATTACCTTTAAAAAATATACATATATATATATATATACACACATATACATATATTTTTTATTGATTTCAGAGAGGAAGGGAGAGGGAGAGAGAGAAAGAAACATCAATGATGAGAGAGAAGCACTGATCAGCTACACGCCCCACATTGGGGACCAAGCCCACAACCCGGGCATGTGCCCTGCCTGATCAGGAATTGAGGTGACCTCCAGGTTCATAGGTTGACACCCAACCACCGAGCCACGCCGGCTGGGCTGTAATTACCTTTTAAATATGTCAGAAACACATAACAAAATAAGAGCGTGCCGCCCTAACCGGTTTGGCTCAGTGGATAGAGCGTCAGCCTGCGGACTGAAGGGTCCCAGGTTCGATTCTGGTCAAGAGCATGTACCTTGGTTGCGGGCACATCCCCAGTAGGGCGTGTGCAGGAGGCAGCTGATCGATGTTTCTCTCTCATCGATGTTTCTAACTCTCTATTCCTCTCCCTTCTTCTCTGTAAAAAAATCAATAAAATATATTAAAAAAAATAAGAGCGTGCCTACAAGAAACATATGAAGTCTAGGTGATGGGTATTTTCTACTTGTTTGTATGCTGGAATTTTTGTTGTTGATGTTAATCTGCGCCTGGATATCTTTTCCATTGATTTTTATAGAGAGTGAAAGGGAGGGGGAGAGAGGCAGAGAGAAGGAGAAACATCAAATGTAAGAGGGACACATCGATCGGCTGCCTCCCGCACGTGCCCCAACTGGGGCCTAAGATCGACCTGCAACCCAGGTATGTGCCCTTGACCAGGAATGGAACCCACAACCCTTCGGAGCACAGGACGCTCACCACTCACTGAGCCACACTGGCCAGGGCTGGACATTTTTTCATAATACTTGTTAAAATAATTGCTTGGGCCATGGCTGCCATTTCCACAATGTGAGAAAGGGTAGGTGAGGTGCCCGCCCTGGGCACGTCCCAGAATTATAAGGTGGGATTTCTGAGATGGAAGTGGGCCTAGGTTCTACCAAACCCTTCTTTACAGCATGACGAAGAGTCCAAGTGCAAGAGGCTTCCCCAGGGCCACAGACAGAACTCCTCGCAGGCTTCCCCAGGGCCACAGACAGAACTCCTCGCAGGCTTCCCCAGGGCCACAGACAGAACTCCTCGCCGGCTTCCACAGGCCGGGGGCAGGGGGGCCTGCGGAGTTGCCTGTATCACACACTCACTTAGAGTGCGTGCACACATACACTGGGACATGCACACAGAGAGACATGCACATACACATATGTATACACATATGCACACGGACATGTATGCACAGACATGTGCAGAATGCATATACACACAGATGTATGCACACACAGACAAGCATACGCAGGGACATGCACAGGCACACATGCATACATATATATATACACATATGCATGCACACATGGACATGCATGCACACAGAGACATACACAGACATGCCTGCAATGCCTGCAGAGACATGTATGCACACGCACACACAGAGACACACACGGACACCCTTGCACACGCGTGCTGGCTGTACAGATTCAGAGCTGCCATCAGCCCCAGGCTCCCAGCAGGTGCTCAGCACGCGGCTGAATGGGAGGGAACTGGTTCCTCAGGCACCGACTCTGTGCTGAGCACCTCAGTCCGGGGCCCTCAGTACCGCTCTGCGAGGCCAGACAGGCGCCCCCATGGAAGGGGGAGGGGCTTAGAGCATGGATTCTGAAGTCAGGCTCTGCCTCCGTCTCTGCCAGGCCTGGAAAGGCCGCGTCTCATCTCCAAGCCTCTGTTTCCCTGCCTGCACATCGCAGGGGGGGTTCCCCTCACAGCTCTGGGGGGGCGGGGGGCAGACATTCCCGTGCAGGACCTGGCTCGCGGGAGGCGCTTCATCCACGCCAGCTTTCATGACAATGGGGACAGGAAAACCCTAACAGAGCTACGGTCATTCAAACAGCACAGCCTGGGCAAGACCTTAGACAGGGACCTCCCCACCCAACAGGGCCTGGGTTTTCTCATCCGTAAAACAGGCCTGACGCAGCCCCTGTGTCACAGGCTGGAGAGCGAGTGTGGCTCAGGAGACTCTGGCCCACCACAGGGACCACAGGGGATCAGCAACGCCAGTGATCTGTCCGCATCTGCGCTACAAAGGGCGGCCACTGGCTTCATGCGGGTCCTGGCCTCAGGGCTGCCCCCGCTGCAGCCAAGGGACAGGGCTAGCAGCACTGGCTGCCTCTGAGAAATCCCGACACAGGCCCACAGCACCCACCCGCCTGCCCAGGGGCCAGAGGCCCCAGATCCCAGCCCGAGGGTCGGCGGTACCTGGCGGGGGGTAGCACTGCAGCAGCCGCAGGAGCTTCACGGAGAGCCAGGGCGCGGGGACGAAGTAGTAGGTGTAGTCCTGGAGGTCGGTGGAGGCCGAGGATACGATCTGGGGGCAGGAAAGGGGAGGTGAAGCCGGGGCACCAGGCTGGGGGGGGGGGGGGAATGCTGCCTTCCCCAGGGGTGACGGGGAGGATCTGGGAGAGCCCGGCTGTAGGGGGACAGGATCTGCCCATCTGATTCCCTTACTGTGCGCTCCCGATTCCAACTCTGCGCCCCCAAACCCTGGCTACATCCACCAGCGCACACATCACACCACAGTCCTCCCCCGAGACTGGAAGCCGCTCAGGGGCAGGAACTGGGTCCCTGGGCCTCATACAAGGTCAGACCCCAGGAAGGCTCAGGGGATACAAAGGTGGAGAATTAGTGAAAGAGCGTGTGACTTTGTTTCCTCACGGCAAACTCCTACTCAACCCTGAAAACCCCTTCTCCAAGAAGCATTCCCACCATGCTCTGTGCCACCTCCATGATAATATCGTGCCCGACCCCCAATGTCACTTTCTGTCTCGCCCACCAGGCTGGCCCACGGGACTATGTGGATGTGTGGGGAATGAATAAAAGAATGATGGAATGGCTCCACCGGTGTATATAGCTCAGTGGTTGAGTGTCAGCCATGAACTAGGAGGTCAAGGTTCGATTCCTGGTCAGGGCACATGCCTGGGTTGCGGGGACCATCCCCCAGTAGGGGGCGTGAAGGAGGCAGCCGATCAGTGATTCTCTCTCATCACTGATGCTTCTATCTCTATCCCTCTCCCTTGCTCTCTAAAATCAATAAAAATTCATTAAAAAAAATAATAATTGAATGACTGAGCTGCTGTGCTGATCTCTTGCCTGAGAAGCCAGGCCTCTTCTTACCTCCCCAGAAAACGTTTATATTGACTCCGAGTCCCAATTCAGGGATCACACTCCCAGAGGCCTCCCCGGATTCCCAGGCTGGGTAAGTGCTTCCTTTGGGGGCCTACACGCCCTCTGCTACCTCCACAACAGCACAAGCCTCCCCTTTTACGATCATTTGTGACTGAGCAGGCCTGCCCGCCACACGCCCCTCCTCCAAGAGGAAAGGGGCTTCTTGAGGCTGAGGCCTGACGCATCCATGTTCCCCACCAGCCCACAGAGCCGGGCTCCCAGGACAGGGCGTGGGGGAGGAGAGGAGAGAGGACGGAGCGAAGGGAGAGGCATGGGAAAGGAGTGGAGGAAAAGCAGGGAAAGCAGGAGGGAGAAAGACAGAGGGGCGGGCGGGCGGGAGGCAAGTAAGGACGGCAGCTCTCACTTCCTGGGTGCTCTCCACGTGCCAGACCCCATTCTAACGCTTTATATCAGTGGTTCTCAACCTTCTGGCCCTTTAAATACAGTTCCTTATGTGGTGACCCAACCATAAAATTATTTTCGTTGCTACTTCATCACTGTCATGTTGCTACTGTGATGAATCATCATGTAAATATCTGATATGCAGGATGGTCTTAGGCGACCCCTGTGAAAGGGTCGTTCGACCGCCAAAGGGGTCTCGACCCACAGGTTGAGAACCGCTGCTTTATACGGATTAGTTCACAGCGGCTATGTTGTCAGGTGGGCACTAGGATCACCCCACTGAACAGAAGGGACAACTGAGGCCCAGAAAGGGGAAGCCACTTGTAGCCGAGCCAGGAGGAACTCAGCTCAGAGCCTGGGTTCCTAACCACCAGCCGGGCTGCCTCCCAGGGAAAGCAAGGAGGACCAGGGACCAGAGAGGTGCCCGGGGACAGGGACGGGAGGGCTCCCACCCGCAGCCAGCAGCGAGGCCACACCCACCCTGCTCAGGCGAGACACAGCCAGGGAGATGCACGTCTTGAAGTCATCCGGGTTCTTTTTGCAGAGACAGGTGATGAGGCTGACAGCAGCTGTGACCACGCCCTGCAGGGGCAGATGAGTGGCAGGTCAGGGCCTGGTGGGAGGTCAGACTGGGGACAAGTGTGCAGGCTGCGGATCTGAGAGCAGAGATTCAGGAACGCACAGGGGTGGACTGTGGGGGGGGGGGTGTGTGCTTAGGGGTGCATAGGTGTCACAGTGGGTGCTTTGGGGCTCAGGGACGTGACCAGCACCCACTGGGGTTCGGAGCAGAGGGTGGGAGGGGACTAAGAGGAACTGGGGGTGTGGGATTGGGACCGAGGCCAGCGTCTCGGTGCTGGTTGGCCAGGCAGTGGGCACTGGGGAACCTCTGGGTGTCAGACACACAGGCCAGGCTTCTTCTGAGGGGCTGGGTGGGTGTTGGTGTTGGGGACACTGGACAGGACCCCTGGGCAGCCAGTGGGTGTCAGGGACGGGGATGGGGGTGCCTCGGGGCACCTGGGTGAGTAATAAGTACTGGGGGGACCGGACCAGGGTCTCTAGGCGCCTTGGTAAAGGCAGGGACATGGGTGGGGGCCCAGGCATCCAGGGCGGGGTGGGACTCCCTGCCTCCAGGTGGACATCAAGGGCAGGGATGGGGGGACAGAGGGACGGGTCTCACCATGTGCTGGTCATTGAGCAGGTGCACGACGCGGGCCGTCCACTCGCCCATGGGCACCAGGTCGGGCGAGGCCTTGTAGAGCCGCAGCAGACACAGGGCCGCACTCTGCTTCACGCTGTCCATGCTGTCCCTGTGGGGACACGATGTGGGGCGGGTGGGTCAGCGCGACCCAGGACTCCAGCCCCGCACACCTCCCGCCTCTCTCGCTCCTCCCAGGCGGACCCGGGACCCAACCTGGCGCTGCTCTCATGGCCCCCGTCTCAGGAGCCTGTGGGGCCACTGGCACAATGTCAAGCCTGGCTCTGCACTTATCAAGCGCCTACTGGGTACCATCACGCTGTAGGCACTGTGGACAGACTAGTGAGCAAATTGGTCCAAACGCCTGTCCTCACAGAGGTTCCGTCCTAGCCCAGCCGTTGGCATCCAAGCACACTGCGCCCAGCCGCTGTTTGGGGGAAGGTGCCAGGTGAGCAGAAAACTGAGTAACTGAATGAGGAAAGACAGAATCTCCGCCCAGAACGCCCCGCCCCCGTGTTCCAGGTGGCAGCACGAGAATGTTCGCTGCGGCCTGCCATCAGATACAGCCCGAAGCAGCGGGAGGTGTCGCAGGCCCAGGCAGGACTAGCGGCCGTCTCTCACCTGCATCATCACGGCTCACAGCCCTTCCTCGGGCCACGCTCTGCACCAAGGCTTCTACTTATCAACGTGTTTAACCCTCGCCACAGCCCTCCAGGGGGGTGAATTCTATCATCATCTCCAGTTACGAGCCGGGAAACGTCCAAATACCAAACCAAGGAGTGAGAGCTACTTACCAGCTTGGTGAAGTGAAACCGAGACTGATAATATTACGGGGAAGTTTGAAACTACATAATCTGGGGGACTGAGCCCAGGAATTAAAGGACAAAACCACCTGATTTAGAGGACGGGGAGGGGGGAGGGGGAGAGATGATCTGAGGGACGTGAGCGGGGATTCAACTGCAGCTGTTTCATCGTTGTTTTTTTAAAAATATATTTTATTGATTTTTTCACAGAGAGGAAGGGAGAGGGATAGAGAAGTCAGAAACATCAATGAGAGAGAAACATCGACCAGCTGCCTCCTGCACACCCCCCACTGGGGATGTGGCCGCAACTAAGGTACATGCCCTTGACCGGAATCGAACCTGGGACCCTTGAGTCCAAAGGCCGACGCTCTACCCACTGAGCCAAACCGGTTAGGGCTGTTTCATCGTTTTAATAAATGTATTTTTAAATATGTTTTTAGTGATTTTTAGAGACAGAGGATGGGAGAGAGAGAGAAACACCAATCGGTTGCCTCCCACATGCATCCCAACTGGGGATCGAACCCGCAACCTGGACATGTGCCCTGACCAGGAATTGAACCGGCAACCTTTCAGTGCATGGGCCCAAGCTCAACCAACTGAGCCACACTGTGCAGGGTAACTATTTCTTCTATTTTATTTTTATTTTTTAATTTTTTTTTGTAAATATATTTTTATTGATTCCAGAGAGGAAGGGAGAGGGAGAGAGAGATAGAAACATCAATGATGAGAGAGAATCATCAATCGGCTGCCTCCTACACGTCCCCTACTGGGGATTGAGCCTGCAACCCAGGCATGTGCCCTTGACTGAAACTCAACCTGGGACCTTTCAGTCCGCAGGCCGATGCTCTATCCACTGAGCCAAACTGGCCAGGGCTATTTCTTCTTTTTTAGAAAGGCAAGGTACCATGTGACTCAGCAATTCCGCACCTAGGCATCTACACCAAGTCACACACATGTGAACGTTGTACATGATCGGCAGGAGGTGGGGCCTTTTTTATAAATAAATAAACAAGACGTGGTCCATCCAACAATGGAATATTATTACTCAGCCATAAGAAAGTGTGAAGCACTGATCCATGCGACAACACGGGTGAACCTGGAGGACATGATGCTGAGTGAAAGGAGTCAGACACAAAGGCCACGGCATTCCATTTGTAGGAAATGCCCAGAACAGGCGAATCTAGAGACAGAAAGCAGGTCAGTGGTTGCCTGGGGCTGGAGAGGGAGGGCGTGTGGAGTGGACTGCTGATGGCTGTCGGCTTCTTCCTGGGATGATGAAAATGTTCTGGAATTAAGTTGGTGGTGGTTACACAACATTGTGAAGATACTAAAGACTGTTGAATTGACCCTTTAAAATAGTTAAAATGGTGAACTTAGCCCTGGCCAGGTAGCTCAGTTGGTTAGAGCACTGTCCCATATACCAAGGTTGCGGGTTTGATCCCGGTCAGGGCACATACAAGAATCAATCAATGAGCCTTGGCCCGTTTGGCTCAGTGGATAGAGCATCAGCCTGTGCACTGAAGGGTCCCAGGTTCGATTCCGGTCAAGGGCACATGTCCAGGTTGTGGGTTCGATCCCCAGGAGGCGGTGTGCAGGAGGCAGCTGATCAATGATTCTCTCTCATCATTGATGTTTCTATCTCTCTCTTCCTCTCCCTTCCTCTCTGAAATCAATAAAAATAGATTTTCAAGAAAAAGAATCAATCAATGAATACATACATGAGAACAACAAATCAAAGTTTCTCTCTCCCCCTCACCCTTCTTCTCTCTAAAACTCAATCAATAAATTAAAAAGTTCATTTAAAAAGAGGTGAACTTCATGTTATGTGAACTTCACCTCAATTAAAAAAAAAACCTACCTAAAGAAAAGTTCCCACGTGCCCCAGTCATTGTCAAGGCTGAGTTTTCGGTATGGAGAGCCCAGCCTACACTCAGACCACCCAGCCTGGCCCACACTCTGGCAGGACCGGGCCCCTCGGCAGCCATTCCCTCGTGTGCGCATACATGTTTGTCACACTGGCCCCTTCTCCAACCTCGCCGGTGCCAAGTTCTTGCGCTCAGGGTGGCCAGCGACCGCCTCGCAGCTCTCACCACCACTACCCACGCCCTCCTCCGTGGAAGTCTCTTCTGTGTCTGAGCCAGGGCCCACCGTGCACCCCCCTCCCCTCCCCTCAGATCCCAACACGCTGGGCCGCCCGGGCTCTGCCTCCGGTCCTTCTCTGTCCTGCCCATGTCCTCCCCGCGGGACTTAACAGGCAGGAGCTTTCATTACCAAGATGTTGGTCCCCAGCTACACAGGGCTTTTGGGCACAGGGACTGTGGCGAGTCCCAACTGAGATGTAATGTGAGTACGTTACATGCCACGTTTCAAAGACTTCGCACAGAAATGCTGTGAAACAGCCTGGGGAGTGTGGCTCAGTTGGTTGGGCGTCCTCCTGTGCACAGAAAGGTTGCCGGTTCGATCCCCAGTAGGGGGCGTGCGGGAGGCAGCCAATCGATGTTTCACTCTTACATCGGTTTCTCCTCTCCCTTTTCTCTCTAGAAATCAATCAAACAAAATCTTAAGAACATTTCCCCCCATCTCTTTGTTTCTCTGGGCTCATCCCCATTCATTTCTTCAGTTCTACTGGCTGTTTAACCTGCTTTGATCACTGTCTATTCTGCTGCTAAACCAGACCACTCAATTTTTTAAAAATATCGGTGATATTTTCCCGATCTGCTTGCACTTTGCTCGTGTTTGAATCATTTTCATCTTCCTTGGAACCTATTACACTTATTTTACATCCCATAGGACGATTCTAATTTGACTGTTCTTTTCCGTTTTCTTTCTGCTGGTTCTCCCTCGCGGTGCTTGCTTCCTGTGTTTAGTGATTTTCGACTGTGAGCTACTCACGGAACTCTGGGCTGCTTCACCGGTGGGAACCTTTGAGGCCTGTGGAGAAGGTGGGTTTCTCCAAAAAAGGCGTCTTTGCTTCTGCCAGGCACTGGGGTCTACCAGCTTGCAGCACTTGACATAAAGCTTGGCTGAAGGATTTGTGGATGACCCAGTGGGCGGAAATCAGGCTGAAAACCAGTGTGCACGCTGCTCTGTGCCAAGGTTCAAAACAGGTAACTTTGCTTATATCTCCTGAGGGTTTATTTTCAAATCACGCTCATTCTGAAGTGTGGTCTCTGGAGCCTCTCCTTGGAAAAGCTTTGTCTTCTGTTCCCAGAGGCTGCAGGGCCCCCCAAACCAATACTGGGTTCACGCAGTTCAGCGAATGCCCTCTAAGCAAGATCTGGCTACAGCCCTCGGCGCATCTCCTGGTGCCAGGCTCCTCTTAGCTCGTGGCCTGTCCTTACTTTCTGGCTCCTGAAAATTGACGAATATTTCCTCTCCTCTCTTATTCAATATTGACAGCTGGGTTTCAAAAAGAGCGTCAGGAATCTAGTCCACATGTTGCCAGAAATAAATGTCTTACCTTTCCCCACACTAGGCTGATTTATTTTATTTTATTATTATTTTAATCCTCACTGAGGATATTTTTTTCCATTGATTTTTCAAGTGGAAGGGAGGGGGGGAGAGAGAGAGATGCATCGATTGGCTGCCTCCCACAGGAGTCCAAACTGCAGAGCTGGGGAACCCTGCAACCCAGGGACGTGCCCTTGACCGGAATCGAACCCAGGACCTTTCAGTCTGTGGGCTGACACTCTATCCGCTGAGCCAAACCAGGCAAAGCACGGCTGTCAAAATTACAAAGTGACTCATGTCATCCACCTGCCTCCCCCCATCAATTATAATACAATCCGAACTTCTCCCTCTCTCCTGGTCACCATACTCCTTCCAAAAACACTATCTCTTAATTCCATGAATGCAGAAAGCTCACGCCAACCTCAGGGCCTTTGCACTTGTTGCTCCTTTTGCTTGGGACTCTTCCTCCAACACTTTTGAATGATTATGTTCTTATCATTCAGTGTCAAATTACATCACCTCCTTAGAGAGACCCTCCCTGAGAATCTAATGTAAGTGGCCTCCCCCACGGCCTCCAGGACCCCCCACTACCCTATTGTGTTTTCTTCTGAGTATCAGTCACGGTCTGAACTCATCTTATGTTTTGTGTACGTGTTTGTTCTCTGGCTCTCCCACTACGCATAAGCGCCGCAAGGGTGGGCACCACAGTCCTTGCTGCTCGCCTCTGCCTCCCCCGTGCCCATAACAGTGCCCGGCACAGTGCAACAGAAATACTTGCTGAGTGACCTCCTGCCTCAGGACACTCACCGCCCTTCATGCCTTTCCCCTTCCCACAGCCAACGATTCCCCCTCACTTAGGCCTCAGCCTCATGCCACTTCCTCTGGGAAGCTCTCCCTGATTCCCTCAGGCTGGGTCAGGCTGACCCCTACTCAATGCTCTTAGGGGTTCCTATCCCCCACAGCATGGTTTTGAGAGGAATTAAATGCTTCATCCTGCAATTACTCAATCGATGTTTATCTCTCCACTCTGGACTGTGAATGCTGGGAGGACACTGACCATGTCCACTCCTGGTCATGTCTACATCCCCAGCAATCAGCATGATGCCTTGCACACAGTAGATGCCCAATAGACACTTGTTGAATGAATGAATGATGTACAATTTCTGGAGGGCTGTCACCAACATAACTGAAGGTTATCACCTCTTCTACACGAGATGTCAAAGGTCAGTTCATCAGACAGACATCCCACTGGCTGTGCTGGGAGGCTGCCTCACACTGCCGTCAGCTGGCTCAGTGAGATGAGGAGACACATCACAGGGCTGCCCAGGACCCCTGGGGTTCCAAGCTCAGCGTGGGCTCCACATCCTGGCTGGGCCTTGTCTCCCCCACTCCACCCCCCTCCACAGGTCTCCAGGGACTCACCCGGCCACCAGGATGCGAGGGATGTCAGCGGCAAAGGCCTCGCCCATCTCGCGGCTGCCCACATTGGCGATGCAGTGCAGGGCCAGACACATGAAGGTGGGGTTGCGGCTGGCCAGGTCATTCTTGATGGCATTGTTGATGAGCCGGATCAGCTCAGAGTTCGAGTTCACCAGCACCGAGATGAACAGGTAACCCTGGGTGGGGAGGGAGGTGGGGGCAGGGGAGCCTTGTGGTTAATTGGTCCTAGGCCCCAACTCTCATATCCTAGAGCAGTGGTTCTCACCCTTCCTAATGCCACAACCCTTTAATACAGTTCCTCATGTTGTGGTGACCCCCAACCATAAAATTATTTTCGTTGCTACTTCATAACTGTAATTTTGCTACTGTTATGAATCGTATATAAATATCTGATATGCAGGATGTATTTTCAGGGGTCGCGACCCACAGGTTGAGAACCGCTGCCCTAGAGTCTATATACTTCCAGCCCCTCCTCCCTCAGACCCTGGAGTCCAGGCCCCCCAGCCCCTCCTCCCTCAGACCCAGGAGTCCAGGCCCCCAGGCCCTCCTCCCTCAGACCCAGGAGTCCAGGCCCCCAGCCCTCCTCCCTCAGACCCAGGAGCTCAGGCCCCCAGCCCCTCCTCCCTCAGACCCAGGAGTCCAGGCCCCCAGCCCCTCCTCCCTCAGACCCAGGGGTCCAGGCCCCAAGCCCGTCCTCCCCAGACTCACTATCTGCTTCTCTGTGTACTTGTTGGAGCTAAGCAGGTTCACGGCTTCCATATGCCCGAAGTCAATGTCATGGCCAAGCAGGAAGATGAAGAGCAGTTTACAGACATATTTTTTCTTACTGTAGCCATCCAAAGCTTTGTCCCCTGGGGCCGAGGAAGGAGGAAAGGGGAGGCAAGAATGAGGAAGGAACACACCTGCTAGTCCCAGGAGTCCCAGCCCCCTCCGCTCTCAGACCCAGGAGTCCAGACCCCCACCTACCTTTGAACTTGGAGCGGATATTGGCCAGTTCCTTGTTGATTCTCTTAATCTCCGCCTCCTTGCTCTTACCTGGGGAGGGAAGGCAGGGCTGGGGGTGAGGGTCCTGGAGCGGAGCCACCTGCCCCACTTTCCTTGGCAAGGGCCCTCGAAGCTGGAGGGCAGACTCTCCATGCTGGGGCCTCTGGCCCTGAGGCGGAGGGCAGGCCTGGGCCCCATCTCCAGCTGGGAGCTTCATGGAAGTGATCCCTAAGGCTCATTGGTGGCTCCAACCCAGAGCAGGCGCCCGGCGCACACTTCAGGGCCACCCCTGACTCCCTCCTCTCACTGCGGCCCCTGACTATCCTCTTCCTGAGAGCTGTCCCCACCCACGGCTCTGCTTACCCCTGCACAGCCTGGCAAAAAGCACATGATAAAGGAATGAATGAATGAATGAATGGCCCGGCTGGCTTCTAGCTGTCCCCCAGGATCCTCACTCCTACGCATCCCCACTCAGCGTCTCCTGAAAACCTGGTCCTCCCCCAGCTTCCCAATTCAACGAAGGTCCCACTGCGACCCAGCCAGCAGGCCAGGGCCAGGGTGCTGAGCTGCTCCCTGCAGCCATTAGCCAGGTGACTCGCGCGCACCGGAGGCGTAGCTGTTCCAAACTGAGGCGGCTGTAAGCGGCCAGGCCACGCCAGACAGTGGGGGAGGGGGCAGCAAACTATCTCATCAACATTTTAAAAGATTGATTCCATGTTGAAATGACAGTATTTGGGGTATATTGGGTATCATGAATATATTGTTAAAATGAATTTTCCCTTTTTTATATTTGTATTGATTTCAGAGAGGAAAGGAGAGGGAGAGACAGAAACATCAATCAATGATGAGAGAGATTCACTGATCAGCTGCCTCCTGCACGCCCCACTGGGGATCAAGCCAGCAACCCGGGCAGGTGCCCTCACCAGGAATTGAACTCTGACCTCCTGGTTCATAGGTCGATGCTCAACCACTGAGCCACACCGGCCGGGCTCTTTCTACTTTTTTTTTTTTTAAGTGGCCACTGGAGAAGTTGTAACCGCCACAGGTGTGGCTCAGCACTGTCCCAGGGCCCCGCTGGGCTCCCACACAGCCCGGTCACCTCCTGGGGTACATGTCATGGGTGTCTGGGTCCACCTGTCCCCCAGACCCGACCAGAAGCTGGTTGAAAACAGGGTCAGCATCTGCCACTTTGGGTAGCAACTCCATGTTCCAAGGGCTCCCTGAGTGCCTGAGCTCAGAAAAGGCATGAAGACGTGAATAAGGGCCCTATGAGGTGCGGGGTGACCCCTCCCGCCTGCGGAAGGAGCGGAGCCCGCGGGTGAGGGTGGGAGGTCTCTGGGACGCGGGAGGTACAGGGCCAGCCCTTCAATGCTGAGTCTGAATTGGCCTTTGGGGCCCCGGAGGCCACCTGATCCTTCATTTATTAATTACACGCTTCCTGAGGCCCTGGGGGCCCGGCCTGCGTGGGGCTACACTGGGCACCCAGGACCCCGTTGGACCCGGTACTTTTGATCCATTTCAGGGACTCCTGGCCTGGTGGGCGCAGGCAGGGGGCTTCCTCCCCACTCCCAGGTGAGATGTGCAGGGATGGAGGCTGCGGGCAGCGCCTGGCCCTGGCGGAGGCTGCGGAGGTGAGGACATTTGAGGAAGGCTGTGAAAGATGAGGAGGGTTCAGGAGCAGTTCACCAGCCGGGGCGCCCAGAACTCCGCCCGGAGTACCTGCTCAGGGGTGGACCGAGGCTAGGACAGCGCCTCCCTCCGGGGGCAGGGGGGGGCAGTGACCACCAAGGGCCCATGCCAGCCCCTCAAAGTTACTTCGCATGCTGTGCTATCCCTACCCTGAGAATGACCGCAACTGCTTCCCCTGCTGCTTTAAAAGTATTCTGTAGGGACCAGGAGAAACAATCTCTCATAAATGGATCACATATCACCAAGTAGCTGAGTAAACTTGACCACAGATAGACGGATATTTGAACGGCAATTAAATTTTCGAGGCTAGCGACCTCTCTGGCCTTCACTTACACCTCTATTAAAAGCTCCGAGAAGCACGCAAAACGAACCTATGGTGTTGGATGGCCCAGCGGTGGCCATCCCTGGGAGCAGAGAGGGCTGGGAGGGTGCGGGGAGCCAGGCTGGGGTGCGGGTTCTGCATCTGGGGGCCGGTTACGTGGCTGTGTTCAATCAGGGAAAATTCGCCAAGCTGGTCACTTATGATCTGTGGGCTTTTTTAGTAGATCTATATCCATACATGTACATGTGTATACAAAATATTACATATAAAATATTTTTGTAGGAATGTATTCAATCATACAGAAGGCAACATCAAACAGATAATGGATACTTTAAAGACCATGTAAAGAATATGCATATGTGTGTGTGTGTGTGTGTGTTTTCTTTCAAGTATCCACAGCTATTTGGTACTGTCTTCCGCATAATATATACTTTACTAAAAAGAATTCACAGAGGTGCCCTAACCGGTTTGGCTCAGTGGATAGAGCGTCGGCCTGCAATCTGAAAGGTCCCAGGTTCGATTCCGGTCAAGGGCATGTGCCTTGGTTGCGGGCACATCCCCAGTAGGGGGTGTGCAGAAGGCAGCTGATTGATGTTTCTCTCTCATCAATGTTCCTAACTCTCTATCCCTCTCCCTTCCTCTCTGTAAAAAATCAATAAAATATTAAAAAAAAAAAAAAAAAGAATTCACAGAGGAAACAGAGCATTGGGTCTCCAAAGAGCAGGGGCCGCAGCCCTGGAGGGAGAGCCTCCAGCCATGGGCGCAGCCTCTGCAAAGGTCAGAGGCAAGAAACAGCCCGGTGCCCAGAGACAGCGCATGAGTGCGGCTAAGGGGGGGCCCCCTGGGTAAGGGGCTGCAGGCAGGGGTGACAGAATGGGCTAATGGAAGCAAAGGCTTTCTAACATCCAGGACCAGTCAGCAACAAGGGGTGAGCTCACCATCACAGGAGGCATGCAAGCACTTAAAAGGGTTCCCCTGCCCTGGCCGGTTTGGCTCAGTGGATAGAGCGTCGGCCTGTGGACTGAAGGGTCCCGGGTTCGATTCCGGTCAAGGGCATGCACCTTGGTTGCGGGCACATCCCCAGTAGGGGGTGTGCAGGAGGCAGCTGATCGATGTTTCTCTCTCATCAATGTTTCTAACTCTCTATCCCTCTCCCTTCCTCTCTGTAAAAAAATCAATAAAATATATTTTAAAAATAAAGAAAAAGAAAAGGGTTTCCTTTATCTTCAAACATTTTCTGGGTGAGGCTCAGGGATAAGCGACAGCAGCCCTGTGCTTAGAGACCCCGGATGCAAAGGAGGCTGACGGGCAATTCTGAGGACTGTGACATAGGCCAGCACAATGGGGCTGGGCGGCTGGCAGCAGCTCCTGGGATTTGAGGATCAAAAGATGAGGCAAGCCCTGGCCAGTGCAGCTCAGTGGTAGTGTCAGCTCATGCACTAGGGTCTCGGATTTGAATCCCCGTCAAAGGCACGTACCTGGGCTGCAGATTTGCTCCCCCGACGAGTCAGGGCACTTGTGGGATGCAACCAATTGATGTGTGTCTCACATCAATGTTTCTCTCTCTCTCCTTCTCCCTCCCTTTCACTCTCTCTAAAAATCAATGAGAGCCCTGACCGGTTTGGCTCAGTGGATAGAGCGTCGGCCTGCAGACTCAAGGGTCCCAGGTTCGATTCCGGTCAAGGGCATGTACCTTGGTTGCGGGCACATCCCCAGTAGGGGGTGTGCAGAAGGCAGCTGATCGATGTTTCTCTCTCATCGATGTTTCTAACTCTCTATCCCTCTCCCTCCCTCTCTGTAAAAAATCAATAAAATATATTTAAAAAATAAAATAAAAATCAATGGGAAAAATATCCTCCGGTGAGGAATGGACCAGGTAGAAATAGGGCAAGTGTGCTCTGGGCAGGAGGACCGGCCTGTGCCACGGCCTGTAGGCTGGCACAGAGGGCGCGGCCAGACCAGCCGGCCCCTCCTGGGTGCTCTGAGGGGTCTGGGGAGCAATGGGAGGGTGCGGGTCCCTCTTCTGCCTGTAGCGATGGCTGTCAGGGACATGTGGGTGAGGAAAGACCACCCTCTTGCCACAGACCAGAGCAGGAAACTGCTGACTGTGCTGAGGATATGCCCTACTTGAGGCTCTGGTTACGGGAGATAAAGCCGGTGAGGGTTTAAGCCAAAAAGGCCTAGGGGCGGGTCTATCGCTGCCACCAAAAGCATCCTAACAGCCCTGACTCTACGCTGGAGGGAACCAAAGCACTTGTACTGAGGTCAGCGTCCCTTTCACTGCTCGTGTCCACAGCCAGCTCTACAACTACTACTCACAAGGTAACAATGTTCCATCCATACAATCCTGCCCTGATGGGTCTCCCACACAAGTCCAAGCAGCGCTGCGTCCTCAGAGAGGATTCTGGGAAATGATGCTTCCTGACTCTGGACCACTATCCGCTCAGAACATGCTGGCCCTGTGCTGTCCAACGCGGGAGCCACTGGCCACGTGTGCTGGAAATACGGCCAGTGTGACTGAGGGACTGAATTCCTAATCTTATTTACCCTTAAGAAATTTAAATTGAAAAACCGATTCTCAATTCAGTTACTGCAAAAGTATGTTTGGAACTTGAGTACCCCATGAATCTATTTTATGAACTTTTTTAAAAAAAAATGGTTTTATTGATTTCAGGGAGAGGGAGAGAGAGAATCATCAATGATCAGAGAGAACCAATGATCGGCTGCCTCCTGCACACCCCCTAATGGGGGATGGAACCTGCAACCCGGGCATGTGCCCTGACCGGGATTTGAACCGTGACCTCCTGGTTCATAGGTCAACCTCTGAGCCACACCAGCCGGGCTACATTTTATGAATTCTTAATCAAGAGCAAGTATTTCCAATGAAAATGCAGCCTTTGAATTGAGAAAGGAACATAAACTGTCTCATTAACCATTTAAAAACTATCGATTGCACATTCACATAATGTTTTGCACACACTGGGATAAATAAAATGTATAAAAATTCATTTCACTGGTTTGTTTTACTGGGTTAACACTG